AAGGTCTTTTCCAACCTAAACGATTCTATGATTCTGTGTGTCTGGAGATCTTTCATACTTAAATTATTCTGTGATTCTAATGATCTTGCTCATATTCCCTAGTTAGATGGTCAGTATTGGTTAGGGCTGTGAGTGAGGAGTCTGTGCGTATCTGCAGTTGGGGAAAAGTGGAGGAGCTACTAGTTCCCCTCTTGTGCTATCACAAAACAGTTTACTAATATCTAGTTTGCAAAATGCTAAATTGTTAAAACTCAAAACTGACTCAAAACTGCCAGGTGACAAATGTAAAAAATCAGTTCAGTAACAAATTATTACCATAATCAGCCAACTGTTCCTGTATATATATTTTTTTCTCTTTAATACAGTGCTTAACAGAGCCCTGGACTATGGCTTTTGTGTACTAGTGGCTACATTTCTGTAACCGTAATGCTGAAACCACTAATAACAATTCAGTAGTCCCTGTAGTAGTTGCAGTATTTCTTGGGCTTATGTACCAAGAGTACTGTGTTTAAAAAGACTGGGATTAGAAATTCCACCTTTTAAAAATTAACCAAAGTAAGTTTACAAGGGAATGACTTAAAGCTTTTTTATTTGTTGTTTTCTTACTGTAATTTTTTTACTTTTATCTTTCATGGTGCTCACTGTTTAGATTACAAAGAGATATGGCTGACTGGAACAAATGGGACCGGCATTGGCCAGTTCAAGATTCCTCACAGTGTAACAGTGGATCCTTTTGGACGGGTAAAGAATAAAGGGAGAATTTTTTTCTTTTTTCATCTTCCAACACATTTGTTTACAAGTATTTGAACAAAACAAATTGTATTTCTTTTTTAATTGAACTGTTTTGATCTGGGTCATTTTATGTGGATTACAGTTTTCAATGTGATAGTGGTCATAAGCTGAAGTTTTACACTGCAGATCCTACTGACGTAGCTGGCTGCATGCAAGTTTAACACAAGGGTTCTGACCAGTTACATTGTCAATGTCCATGCAAGAACAAACTGTTCCTCCTGTAGTTTCTAACAGGTTGCCATTGTGAGAGTACAGAAGAATTATGTTCTGTAATAAATACTTACCCAAGCTTTTATGTTTCTTCAGCAGACTTTAATTTTGTATTTGGAAATTCCAGATAAGCTTAAGGTGATAGTAACACTCTAGCTAGGTTGTGGACATTGATCCTTTTCTACATGCAGCTCAAGGCATTCAAAAGTCTACCTCTGCCAGTTGCTAATTGTAGTCTTGCTTTTGTTCTGCTGCTCCTGTAGAGGAATTGTGCTGTGGCTCCTTAATCTGGTTCAGAGAAACTAAGATTGCTTGACTATAACATCTTAAATCACTGGTTTGAGCTAGTTCTGCTGATGCTGTCTGAACCAGGATAAGAAGTGTATATAAAAATCACTTCTCTGCCAACATTGGCAGGGTGGGAGGGAGAAGAGGAGGGACATGGCCGCTTTGTGTTGAAGGGTAACCGTGAGTATATACATTCAAAGACAGCAATTGTGGGGGGCTACGATTTTATTGCCAGCGTGGTGTTGATCATCAGCCTAGGTTAGAAATAATTGTCAATTCCTAAGAAATCTAAGAGACTGCTGTAGTAGTGTTTCATTTTAAAATAGTGGTGAAAGATCTCAGGTCATCTTGTTTGTTGCTCCCTTTTGGGTGATATACCAGAAAGTCATGAAGTTTCCTTATCATACTGATGAGTTGTCAACAGCTGAAATATCAGTGACTGTAATACAAGAGAGGCCTTCACTGGAACTGTCTAATGATATTGCTAGCTTGCAGTGTTTGTGAACCCAGTTAGCACAGGGTGGAACAGAGATAAGCTCAACAAAACATGCTGAAAATGCTCTTAGTGTTTAAGTTGCTCAATATTTATAGTAGTATTAAGCATATCAGAGTGTTTGCAGATGCAGTCATCATAGGCCTGGATCATGAAATGAGACTACTGTTAAAAACCAAATTGTTAGCAGGTGACAGATCAGTATCTTTAGAATTAAATAGGTGGGAATATGTCCTCACGGGGTGGGGGGGAGGGGAGGGGGGGAATCCTACTAAATGTATCCATATCATAGCCACAAAAATGAAGAGAAGGCACTGATTTCCCTGTTAAAGTAGTATAAAATAAGTTGTGTATCTTAACTATGTGGCGGTTTTGTTTTATATCTGGAAGTCATATCTACTTACTTAGTTTTGAATGTGGAGGTATGTTCTTCCAAGCTGTACTTCTTTACTACAGGATACTTTACTTGTGTAAGAAACTGATGCATTGGATTTGTTCTATTTGTGAACAGCCATGATTTTTGTTCTTAACAGGTATGGGTTGCAGACAGAGACAACAAAAGAATCCAAGTTTTTGATAAAGTCACAGGGGAATGGCTCGGGTGTTGGAGCAGCTGTTTTTCAGAAGATGGACCCTATTCTGTCAGGTATTGTTGAACAGTTCTTCTAGAAGCATGCAATTACATAAATAAGGTGTACTCTTACTGGTGAATTAAAATGTTGATATTTAATGCCAGATGACAAGCAGTTAACCAGTTTAACTAACAGGGTTTCAGGCCCTAATCATATGCAAAGATCTGTACAGTTGTATCTTGACAGGGAAATCCTGGCTTTATGACAACCCGCATGGATTTGAGTGCAGGATTGGGAACTTCATTTTAAAGTTGTTGTGTGTTGTTGACCTTACTGTTGCAGCTTTTACAGGAAGAGAGATTGTCTTGAATGAGTTTACTGCAGCATAATCTGTCTCAAGGAGCAGCAACATGTAGAGCAAGGCTTAACAAGTTAATTGTCAGTGTTTCACTGCATTTAGTCTGTTGTAGCCTTCAAAACCTTGACTGTTAAGGAGGTTTTGTTTTAAAGCGCATGGTTGTGTTAAAATGAGATGTCATATGGAGTTCATAATTCAAAAATATATTTCTGTCTTTCACAGATTTACTGCCAATTACAAATACCTGATTGTAGCTCAGCTGAATATCAACCAGTTAGCAATCTTGGCGGCACCACCAGTTGGCTCTATTGGGGACTGCATTATGGTCAACACAGTCCAGCTGGCAGATGAAACCAAACCACACCTTGTGGATGTAGACATGAAGAGTGGAGCAGTCTATGTTGCAGAGATTGGAGCCCAGCAAGTACAAAAATACATACCCTTAAGCTGACGGTTTCCCACAACTGCTGTGACACAAGCTGTGTGACGTATAAGACCTATGACCACGTTTCCTTGAGTTTTCTGTAGCTTGTGTTTCCTTAGACAAGCACAGAACATTGTGCTCCCAGAACTGTAGAGCTAAGAATCTGTCCTAGCTGTTCTGCAGTCCTGGAGAAGTACTTGGTCTTGAGCTGTAACTCATTTTAGTAATGCTATGGTGGCTTTTGTGTTTGTTGCTGGGAATTGTTAAATGATTTTGAGAAGTGTCTTCATTTTATTATATAAAACTCTACAAACACAGCTGCTATTCCAAAATATATAGGGATCATCTTGGGGCTCCTCTACTTAGCCTGCATGTGTTGTTAAATGAAGGGGTCAGAACTGTCTGAAAGAAGTGTATAAATGATTTCCTGGCAAGCGAGCACCTAATTTTAATGTTTCTTCACTTGTTTTTTGGAATCATTTTGCTGATACTGCCCAACACTGAATATAGAGATGCATTATGATGTTGAATAAGATGTTGCTGGATACTGGTGTCAGCACTGATACTGGCATCTACCTGAAGTGGTTCATGACATAACCACTGAAATCTAAGTTTCCAGCTCTAGTTAAAGTGGTAAAGTCTGTAATAAGCTTAAGTCAAACTGATATCAGATACTTCAGACTAAATTAGAAGTATGTGCACAGCAGCCAAGTACTGATTCGTAAGTAAATCAATTCTTAACCTGATTTGATTTGTATCAGCATGAGCTTTCTGTTCCATAAGATTTCATAATGGAACACATTGAAGTTCAACTCGTTTAAGTTCCTCAAGATAAACAAATTGCAATTTGCTAGGAGAGTCTTAATCAGCATTAGGGACTGGGAGACATGATTTTTCTTGCAATTTTATTGGAGCTCTGTCAGTTAACAGCAGTGCATCTGTTTTGATTTGGGGATTTTTAACGGTTTTGTATCCAGCACTTAAACTTCATCAACTCTTAATGTCTAGAGTTAAGTTCCTTACACTATATCCTGGCAGATGTCTCCAAGCTCTGTCCTAAAAAATGTTGTCTCTTTCTGTTCCCAGTCCAGAGTGGTTCCATTTTCTTTACATGTTGCTACATAACATTTTAAGTTAGTTCATAGCACAGAGGAAAATGGGATGGGGAAAATGGCGTGGCAGAAATGAGACAGTGAATAACTGATTACCTCTGTAAAGCTGTGGACCCACATTCCATATTTATCTACTAGCTCTTCAAAACATTTGGGAGGATTTTTGCTGTTTCCACACACTTACTCTACCATGTGGACTGTTTTAATGCTAATTACCAGCTAAGAGAGGCAGGTTTTTTTCAACTTCCTTAGAAAGGGAATATGGGAAATGAAATTATTCTGATGGGAAATATCCACTTCAGTGCATGTTATCAAAAGCAAATGCATCTTAATTTGGCAGGTTTCAACCTATGATCACAAATTTTTGGGTCAGCAGATGGGAAAACTGTCCAGAAAAGTCAGATTCATATGTTCTGTACAAAGTAACTCAGCTGTGGAGCCTGATGGCCTGATTTCAATACTATTTGAAATTAATGCACTAAATACGAACGCTTTGTTGTTGGCTACATCCACAATAACAAAATCAGATCTAACCTGGCTGCCCTCATGCAAGCCTTAGAACCAGAACTTTAGGGTTATACGCTAGCAAAAATGATCCATCATTCACATGGTCTTGGATGGGAGCTAGTAAGCAATATTTATTAGCTGAAAAAGTAGCAGTACTTCCTCTAGACCTAGATGGATAGTTCCACGTTGCTTTGCAGAGTGTTGTGTGGATTTTCTAACTAGGTCTCCACTAGCTCAGGGATCTCTGTTCTGTGTGCAATTTAGCTATCTCTCACCTACACAAGGTGGATTTCTTTTTAAAAATACCACACTTAAATATAGTTAATGATATTACAGTATCTTGGTGGTGTAAGGGGTCCAGGCACATCCATCCTTCCTCACCGCATCCTCTTATTTATTTTTTCTTTGTCACATCCATTTGAAACTGGACTCGAAGCTCTCTGGGAATGCTTCTGTGTTCAGTAAAGGAGTAGTGCACTTCTGGATATTGATGAGTAAGTTATTTCCACAAGGTGCCGTTTGCTATGTGGATCTACTCTCAACTCTCTTTTTACATGAGCTTTTGCAGCCCCTAGAAGTGGGGAGCATTCATCCAGTGTTGTCCGGCTTTACTGAAGTAGGCCGTGGTGCCAAAATGTGCCTTGCCTCTAGGCATTTGGGTATCTGTGATAAGAAGGGATGCTCATTATTAACTAGTATATTAACTGCATATATGACCAGACTGAGAAAATGATTGATTTGTGCACTAACTTACTAATTCTCTGATGGTTTTCTTATGTATCGTCTTGAAACTGATTTCTGAAAAATTGCATAGTAGAATAATTTGATAAAATAAATTGAGAATTTCCCATTATGAAAGGCTTGGGCACTTTATTTCTGTACTAATATCAATACATTCCATTGCAATGGATTACTTTGCTAAATATGGGGTCCTTGGCAATTTAATAAGGTATTTAATAATTTCTGATACCAACATTCAAATGTAATCTAAAATTCCATGTTATCTTTATACATTACTACTTCTGTGGCCTATCTCTTATGCATTCTAATTTATGTATCAAAAAAGGCACATAAATCTCCCAGATGTTTTCCTCTGAGTAATTAGTAAAATGGGATGATGAGTTACTTAATTGCCAAGTATAAAAAAAAATATTTAAACTGTATATCCTTTTGATGCTAATAGGGAAATAAAAAACAAATTAACAAAACACTTCTTAATATAGAATCAGGGTTTTTTTCCAGAAAAGATTTGCCGAGCAATCTGTTTAGTTTTTAGAAGAACAAGAAGGGACTTCTCTATGGGTTAGAAATACTTGCACAAGAGGAAAAATAACATACTACACCGTTAACTAGACAAGAAAGAAAACGTAAGGTGATTGAAACCCTCAAAAATCTGATTTTAGTTAATAGGTGTCAACTTTTTAAGTGTGAGAAGTAATCACTGGAATATCCAAGTAAAGGAAATGGGAATATTCCATGTTTTGATGTCTCCAACTTTGCAGACATTTTTTTTTTTTTCTTTTTTTTTTGATTGATCCTTTTTAATTGATCCTTCTCTTTGGGTAAGTAGCTGCCCAGAGAGGTGGTGGAGTCACCATCCCTGGAAGCGTTCAAAAAACGGGTAGACGTGGCACTTTGGGACATGATTTAGTCTAGTCTACCCTTAACTGGTTTAGTGTGGACTTGGTAATGTTAGGTTAATGGTTGGACTGGATGATCTTAAAGGTCTTTTCCAACCTAAACGATTCTATGATTCTAGATTGTTAACTGGATGACATTCCCAGGAGGTAAGACCAGGTCTATTAATACAGTTCATCTTGATTATTCTGTGATGCTAACCAGCCTTTTTTTGTGTGTGTGTGTTATCATTGTCAGCAATTGGTTAACAATATCTGTCTGGCCAAAACAAAAGAAACCTGAATCAGGTTTGTGCCATGCAAGGTCAGTTTAGTGAGGCTGAGCTGTCTCAATAAAAGCCGAGGGGGAAGGTGCATGCGTATGTCTGTGGGTCTGCTCTTTACTGTGAGTAAGTTCACTGCCTTAAAGTGGTTATTAACCTTTTTGAAGCATTAAGTAGTTAGTTATCTTAGTTGACACTTACTTTCTTAACAATCTGTAACCTGAGAAGCTTTCACAAGTGATTTATCACCGAGAAGTGTTTGCAGTCACTGAAGTTGCTTGTATAAAACGTAAGAGGGCACCAAAACCCTCCTGATGCTTGGCATACTCAGTGTAGCTACATCCTAGCAAATGTAAACAGCTGGTATTTCTGAACCTTTGGAGTAGGTCAACAAAGGTAGTGAATTGCTCCAGACTTCCTTTCTCTTTTTGAAATAGATTGCTTTAGACATAAGCAGATAATTGTATTTTAGTCACTTTGGCTGATTACTACTGGATTTATGTCCATCTTTTATTTATTTCCATTGCTTTTCCTAGAAAAAAAATCAGTAATTTGGTGTCCAGAGACAACTGGATATGGTGAATTGATTCTTCTAGTCCTTATGTCATTGATTTCAATGGAATTACTCCTGCTATGTTGCTTTGGAAACACAATAATTTATAATAGTATAACTGTAGCAACATAATTATAGCAAAAGAGTAATGCCAATATATTTTCCTACAGAGGTGACCCTGCGTGAGATTAAATCTGAGCTTACTGGATCTGATTCAACAATTTTGTACTACCTCTCCTTTCTCAGCCTTTGTCTAAAAACTTTGTGCTGATTTTGTACTATTATTTTATTCTACTTTTTTGGGGATTGTGTCTGCAAAAATTGTATTTGCCAGCAGTTGCCATCAAAAAGTTTGAACACGGACTTTTCCTACATTTCAGGTAAATGATTCAAAAGATTTGAGTCCTTCAGTGTTCATAAAGCATCAAAGTCATGTTGCTTGTATGAAATTTGAAAGTAGGAGCATATTAATTTATGCACACAGGACAATTTGTTACTTCATTAAAGCCAAAGTAGCACTGTTACAAATGAGGTACGAATAGACGTACTTTATCATAAGATCACATGTTTTGAGGCTGAGGAAACCAAATATGATTGTGTAACTGGATCTGCAAAACGGAGGTAAAAATCTTTGCCCAGTTACATCAGGAATGAACTTATTAATTCTGTCTGAGCTATGATGGGATCTCTTAGAAACAAATTAAGACTTAAGAAATCTAACTCTTGAATAACTAAGGTCTATATATTTTAATCCTTCCTAGTAGGTGAAAAACATCATTATGAAGGAAAGGCTTTACATTTAATCTGGATTCATTTGTCTTCAACCTCATGTTTTCTGTTTTCAGCTAGCTTAGAGATTCTGTCTAATATGGGAAATTTTTTTTTATCCCCCATGGAGTCATTTACAGATAATGACTGAGTCATCTCTTGTTCCACTCCTTGTCTAAACTGTATA